CTCCACCCCCTCTTTGAACCTGACCAGGAGCCCACCGAGCTCTACAGCTTCGTTCCCACTAAGTTTTTGGCCCAAGTTCTTTTGTCTTTTTTTTTTTTTTAACACCCACCACCATAATTACGGTTTATCAAAAACATTTTTTTTTAATGGCCTTGCTCAAGTAAAACAATATCCCAATCATTCACGGGGCAGTCAAATGAGGAATCGGTGAGGAAAGCACCTGGGAAAAGCAGAGCTGGCTTGTTCCGAGGGGCTGCGCTGGGGGGAGGGGGGGAGACCAGGGAGCAGGCGAGGTGAGACAAAGTATCAAAGCCCGAGGTCTCCCGCGTGCGCACTGGGACGGGGCGCTCGCAGCCCACCTCGCAGGTGGGAGGCGCGGGGCGAGGATGGGCGGCTCGGGTATCCCGGGGACCTGCACATTTCCTGAGCTTTTGTTGTGTACGCACCGAGGCCAGGGTGTCACTTACTGGACTTGGTGCTTTCACTTCCTCTTCTGCTTTTACACGGCCGCAGCCCGGAGTTGGGGGGCGAGCGGTGAGGGGGCTCGGGTTTCAAGGACAATGACTAGGGCTTTAGCAAGTGAGGGCTGCCACTCTGAAAGCACTTGCCGCGGCCCCCCCGGGGGGCTGGGAGCTGTAGTCCCTTAGGACGCCACGGCCCAGCAGAGCCTGGAGGCCGCGGGGATGGACCCGGGGCTCAGGGGTGCTGAAATCCACTTGTGATCCTTGCGGCGGCCAGAGCCGGAGACCAAAGGACGTTTCCGGCAGCTGTTCCGCCCGTGGCTTCAGTTCTCAAATTCTATTTGAAAGTTTCCTTCCTTAAATGGAACAGTATGGAGAGGCATTAGGATGGGAGTGTGAGCGCGCAAGACTCCAGAGCAACCACAAGAAGAGAGAGATCAATGTTTAAAATGTTTTTCTTAATACATTTTAGGTAAATTTATTACTGGAGGGTACACCCAATAATTGTGGACGGCGAGGACACACACCGTGCATTCTCTGAAACGCGTAAACCAGAGCAGCCGGTGCTAGAGCGCACCTACAAGCCTTTTGAGCGGGAACTGCACTTTAACCCCAGCCAGGGAGGGCTTCCGGGAGCAGCCTGGGCGTGCAGGCCGGGGAAGGGAGGCCCTCGGGTGCCTTCTGAGGGTGCAGTCAGGCGGCAAGCCCGTAGCGAGGGTACCCCGCCGCCCAGCACTCGGAGGATAACCCAGCCTCTGTAATCTGAGCAACAGTTTCCAAAGACCTTCTCCGCAGCTGGACCCTGACAGGTATCCAGGGTAACCGGGAAGGGGCGGAGCTTCAGCTCAGCCGACGCCCCTCCCCCTGAGGTCTTCACCAGCCAATAACATACTGTTTGTTCCCCGCCCATTGTTGTTTATTGCTGACCCCGCAGCGCTCCGCTAGGAGATTGGCCGCTTTAGGGAAGAAGGCGGAGCCTCTCCCGCCCCTGCAGCCCCCTTGCAGCTCCATTCACAAAATTCCGGCCTCTCTCGGTCACGTGGTTGAAGGCGTGGTGGGGCAGGGGAAATGACACAACAAAGGCCCAAGTTTTCCAAACCACAAAACTTTTTTCTGACTCGCAACCTCCTCTAAGTCCTGTCCCAGAACAAATACTAGAAGATGAGAAAAAGAAGCCTTAGGTCTGGGAGCAATGAGAC